TAAAATTTTATAATAGAATCTTAAGAAACGATCTACACAAATGTTTCCATATTCAATATATGAATAATATGTGTGAAAGTAACGGAAATGAAATTAAATATATATTGCATGTGCATAAAATTGTATAGATATTAGATAACACAGCTATATATAAATGTAATTTCAGTAATGGTACTTCATTCGTAATGTGCAATTTCAATAATGGAATTTATTTGCACAAAGTATGCAACTAGACCGCGTAACTTTACATGATCAATCGGGCACAATGTGCGTGTATTAATAAATTATTGCTATTCAAAATCATTACATCTGTCAGTTAAGAGGAATTTATTGCCATGTAACAGCAACTGATGAATGCTCCATAGCGCATTTTGCATCAATAAATTACATGTTAAAATTATCCAGAAATGATTAATGAAGTGTGTCAAATGCGACTGTACGGTACAATTCGCGATACGTGTATACATTTCGAGGCTTTGTACGTAATGCAACTTCTAATAAATGATTACTATTAATGTTGACATTAATGAGACGATAATTTATATTTTTTCCAAAGATTTTCACTCGATGCGATTCTAATCTTTTCAGACTTTCATATCTCGGAAGATAATTAAAGTTAATAGATCAGCGGCTGCTTGTTCTTCGATTACCGTGCTCGGAACGAGTTTGACATTGTAAAAAATACAAAAAGTTTCTTGAAAAATTTCAATAAACTTTCATAGGTTCGTACAGTGGTAGAGTGATAAAGTATAGTGCACCGATACACTCTATATTAAGAACCGGCCTGACGAGTGTCTCGATTAACATCACGGTGTTAATTCTCGAAGGAGCTCTCGTGACTTCCACACGCGGACAATTTACAACGTGGCGAACGATTTACAAGGACAGAAAGCGGAGGGTCGTTATTAGGGCATAATTTGCGAAACCCGAAGCTTGTCGACCGAACTGCACGACAGACAGACACGAGATCGGCACGATGGATTTATCGTCGATCAGAAGTTTTAACTTATTGTTAGCGCTCGTTTAACGATCGATATAGGAGCAGCGAATTTGCAGAGATACAATCTCGCGGCGCGATAATTATTTAACGAGCCGTGTGTTCAGTGCGTTTGAATTTTCGTCTCGCATTCTTGCGAGTTACGAACACTGCTTGCGCGAGTTTAACCGCCGTCGGACTGACGCGGACGGACTACGCTGCGCTGCGCCTCCGTCCGATCAACGAGCTTATTACACACACACGATGTAATTAGTTCCCAGTGATTGGAAGTTATAAGCCACACTTGTACCTTATTCAGGATATTAATGATTGAATGCACAGCGTGCGGCAATGCTTCTATTCTGCAGGCTTTGCTCGACGATAGAACTGACATCTAATAAGGCAATCTTATATCAGAAATTTTAAGTAAAAACTTATGAATTCTTACGAAATTCTCTAAATAAACTTCAAAATTTTCGGCGTGAAAAGATATTTTTAGAGAAACTGTCATATCTCGAGAAAAATCTTTCCTTAGTCTTTCATACATTTCATAAATTACGTAAAGTATTTATATTAGAAATTTTTAATAAAAATATAATTATTTAAAACGATTAGTTAAGCTGTTTTAGATGACACTTAATAGTCGCTTATTTGTCGAAGCATCAGGTAATCAAATTTTCTTCTGTGGTTACATCAGAGAGAACTAAATATAATCGCTAATTGAGACATCCGTACAATCGGTTTCTTTTTATCTTTATGTTTTCTTTTAATACTTAATGTATATAAATTGGTCATAAGTTATCACGAATGCATTGTTGCGAGGATGGATGTATCGTTAATTCTGGATAGACATGGAAAGCCTCTTACAGAGGAATGTCAGTATCGAATAAAACGATTTTGAAATCATTGATATCCGAGTGACTCAAGTAGCGATATCGAATCTTCGATCGCATTTAATTACGGGTTTTGTGGTGCCGAGATTCCATTCTGACATGCCCTTAATTAATACGAACCCTGTCGGTGACATATCTATGACAATCACGCGAGTCGAAATATCTTCTTTCGATGGATATTTTTTCTCATTTTATTTCTACGAAATAATATATCTCACTTTGTGTAATATAATCGCAAAAATATCTGAATTATAATTCTGCACGAATAATTACATGCTTCAATAAAATACTTTAATAACGTGATATACAAATGAAAATAATTAAAAAAGTATACGTCGAGTTAGACTCGTGAAAAAAAATAAACACAAACGAAAAGCTTCTTATATAATTATCTTCTATTCCTTATATAAATATTTTATATAACTATCGAGTTCGAAATCGGTAACCGATGAATAATCGCAATTGGTTGCAAAGAAATTATGAAATGTAAAATACTGTTTCTTATTTAAACCAACTTTACAGCAAATAATTTTCACATAAATTATATATTTCTGAACTATATCGTGTTAGACAATACGTTCAGTAGCGAACGCGCGAATTTCTTGAAAATTATTCGAGCGGTGTCTCTCATGGGAAATCTTTGGACATTCCAACAGACATGTAACACCTGGCGACAGGTGCTAAGGGAACATATCCGTGCTGTCTTATACTAAATGTCCGGAAGAGTTCTATCTAATAATCTCGCGGTTAGGTATTATCGAAGATGTTAGTTATTTTGCACGGAAAGAACAATTTTGCTGAACCCAGATCTGAAAATAATTTTTGTTCAATAGTCAAAATTATTTTGTGCAAAAGTCAAAATGATTGCTAGAATATCAAAACGTTTTAAAGCAATACTAATCAATTTTAACAGTTTTCCAACAAATTATTTTGATGATTCAATAAAAAATTATTTTCAGATCTATTTTTAGCAAAATTTTTAGGTCTTTCAACAAAATCGTTCTTTCCGTGTGTCTTTCGCTTGGAGCGAAAGAAAAAAATTCTGTTTAAATACTCAATTCCCTCAATTCTGTTTTAAAACTCTTCTTAATTTTAAAACATAAATGCATATATCTCTGTTCCAATATCTCAGTTCAAGTATCTAATATTTCAAAATCTGTGTTTTACAAACATGCTAAACTTGTATTAACAGTAAATATGTATATGTATAATAAAACTATATCTTTTATATATATACTACGAAAATAGAATTTAATTAAATATAACGTACAGTCTTTTTAGTACAGCATATATCAATTTCAAAATTTATTGCGCCATTAATCTATGCTAAAATACATGCGGATTATCGAATTGGTGCAACGATGACAGTGGGGGAAAATTCATCTTCAAACGCTATAATTACTATAATATATCTAGTTTTCTTCGAGTATATAATAATTACATCTACAATGTTTCCCTAATGTTTAACTTTTACAGATTGCCAGGATACGTAATTCCTAGTGGCCATTATATCCTTATCTTGACGCCTTGATTAATATCCAGCAGGATAACGGATATTAAAGGGAATATTATACGCAATTTATATGTCAGTCATGTTACCACACGAGCGCATGCCGCGTCGCCTTGCAACATCGCGCGCGAACAATAATTTAAGGTTTCGATAACAGGAAAAATCAAGTATCGATCGATAGCCACCGTAATTTTAATATATTTAAATATATTATAGCACGCGTGTCACGGCTTGCTTAATCCTTCTATATATTCGTAAGTTATTTCACTTCATGCCACATTGGTGCGCGAAACAGCTCACATCCGTGAGAGCAAAAGGATCGAACGTGTTAGAAGTTGTTGCATCAGAACGATAATTTGCGATTTAATTGAAAGACGCGCGATAGTGGTTTGCACCACGTAAACACGGTAAATAAAGCCACGTGCACAATATGTAGTTAAACTACTTTTCCATAATTGAAAAAATTATTAATTTTATATCAGATTATATATATATATTTATTTTACTTTAAATAAGATTTTGTGAGTGTCGATTATTCTATTATGCGTAAAAATATGTTCTATATTTCCACATTTTTTGCCGCGCTATTTTCAATCAATTTCGTACCAACAAACTGGATTTGGCGGATCTTGTGACATAGTTAAGATCCGCAAGTTAAAATTACACATATGCGTAAGACCTATGGCATTGAACGTCCGTTGGTTTTTTACCCTCCGTCACAATTTCCGGTTTTTTCTCCCGTCTTTCGCGGTTTCCTTCGTGACCTTCTTACGCGGAGACGCTCCATCCTGTTCAACAGAATAGTTTCCACTCCTTTCGACCGTTGCCTATCATCCTCGTCGAAATACAATTTTTATGATGTATCTTCCGTCAAAAATTGCTCTTTCTCTGGGAGGCTAAACATACGTTAAAAAAATCACAAATTTTTTTTCTTGTCTTTTCTTATTGTAATTTCTTTTTTTTCTATATTTAGAATGTGTTACAAAATTTGTTAAATTCAATAATTGGTTTGTAATAACGATCTTTTATCTAACTTAATATTTTATAATTTTCTGTATATCTCAAAAAATATCTGTCCTTAGTTAAAAATAATCTGTTGTTGTGAAGCCGCTAAAATTATCATTATAATATTAATACTAAGCGAATCTATTTTCGATAAAGTTAATATTTTTTTTACAAATACTATCTTTGAGAATTTCTTCGTGTACGTCTACTTTAAACGATCCTTAATTTTCTCGCTACATACTATTCTTTTTTAAGTCTGCTCTTCGACATGATTATTTTTTTTTCAATTGGCTTTCCTCCAACGTTCTTCTCTCGCTTCCATTTGACTCTATCTCTTTCAAGATATGGAACTGTCTCTGTAACCGTCTCACTCGTGTCTCGCGATCTGATCGACTACCTTAACGGTTCTTGACATCGCATGTTTCTAACGGTACGTAAATAAACCAGAATTTCATCCTAATAATTAACTTTTTTATTCAGCGTAAATGTTACATACATGTGCAATCGACCGTTAATCCCTATTAAGTCTGCTATATATATATGTTTTATAGAAATTGTTAACGAAAAAATAATCGATGAACTTTCTCGTAGGTAAACAATGAAACGAATTTTAATCTTCGATAAGTTTCCCCTTTTATATTAATACGTGAGATCGAAAAAAGAAAAACACAATTTTTTTTAAACTTTAACGTTAAGTGTTGTCATCAATCTCGGCTTTCTCCTCGTCGATCACATGTGTTTCCTTTGGCCTTTATTTCTTCGATCGCTACCTGTTTCCAAACGATTCTTTTTCTATATATAACACTGCACGTTCTTTTTAACTTTAATGTTATTCTCTCCGTCGACCTTCTTTCTCTTTATTAACCGTCCTACAAATCCTAGTTACTTGCGACTACCGCGATGAGTCCAGATCGACCATTGCCATTTTCGTGGATAGCACAATATTTTTTCGTTATTATCTTTACCTTCTTAATGATTCTCTCGCCGACGCTACTAGAGATGTGAAAATTTTCTTACTTAGCGTCATCCCGTTCAATCTTTCGCGTCTCCGTCGTCGATATTTTCCGTGTCCCGATTTTTCTTCGTTAATTCGTCGAGGATCTCCTGCTCCTCAGTCGTGAGAGTCGCTCTGTTCACGAAGTTCGCGATATTAGCTGCATGCATCATCAACAAGCGTTTCCTCTCCTCCTTCGCGCGTTCCGCCTCGAGACGTTCCAATCTCTGTTGCTCTTTAGCGATTTCCTCAATCCTAGCAATCTCCTCCTCGCGAATCCTGCGGCGGTGCTCAATCAAACTCTCCAGGTCCTTCCGGTACTGCACTTTCATCCTTCTTTTCGCCTCGGCCGTGCACCTCGCCATCTTCTCATCTTCCATAATCTTCCTCATGACTTCCTCGGCCCATGCTCTATCCTCCTCCACGAAATGCCGCCTGCACTGCTCCGTGAAGACTATCTGTTCCCGTAAACTGGCCGCCAGTTCTTGCTGCATCTTTTTCCTACGCATCGCCTCCTCCATCTCCCTGATTACAAGCTCGCACCTGATCTCCTCGGCAACGAGATCAATCAGCCGCTCTTCCCTCTCTCGTTTTCGCGCCTGAGCGTCCAGCATTAGCCTCGTTGTTTCCAGCAGGACACGCTCGCGCCTCTCTATCTGCTCCCGCCGCAGCCGTCTCACCTCCTTCGCTCTCTCGTCCATCTCCTTCAAGTACTCCAGATCTTCCAGCCGCTTCTTCTCTTCCGCCTCGCGCTCCTCCTGTCGACGCGCCTCCCTCATTCCCTCGAGGATCACCCTCTCCCGCCTCGTCCTCTCCACGAGCTCGCATTTCTTCTCCATCGCCTTCGAGCGCTCCCGTTCCTCTTGCTCTCGGTCCACTTCTTCCAAGAACTTCCTGTACTCGCGAGCCTCCTCCACAATGACTCTTTTCTCTTCCTCCTTTCGTGTCAACTGCTCGTCCAGCTGCTGCCTGTACTCCTTCGATTTCCGCAGTATCTCCGACCGCGACCGGAGCTCCTCCTCCAACACTTCCTGTCGTTCCTTGCGACTCGAGTCGGCGCTCTCGCGTTTTCGCACGAGCTCGGCGTATTTGTCGGCCTGTTTTTCATCGAGTTGTGCCTGCAGCCCTTTCACCATATAGGCACGCCGCAATTCAGCCGCCAATTCCGCGATTGTGTCATAAGACTCGCGGTTGCGGCAACTGCGACGAAATCCCGCGACATACAAAGCGATCTCGTTGCTCGGCGACGTTTCTTCCATTGTTAATCAATGGTTTTGGATATTTCTTGCCTTATGGATCTGGAGGCTGATTGTGCGGCAGAGATCGTGGAACTAGGTGTGAGCCGTTGATTAGACGAGTTGCGTTCTAACGTGTTGCAAGCTGCTCATAATCTTCCGGTTTCGCCTGCAAGGGTTACGCTAGTTCATTACGGTCTTGTGGAGAACGGATTAAGCTTATAATAAATGCGAAAATAATATATGACTATATATCTTTAAGAAATAATTACATTTCACTGTAATTTATCTGCTATTTAGTATCTGCGCATAGCATAAAAGTATAACAAAGATTTATCAGATAAAACGAACGATTCGTATAATTATCTAATAATAGATAAACAACAAAATTATGTAATTGTACGCAAATCTTAAAGTAAATAGATAAATTTAGAAACGAAAAAACGGCTTTCTAAAATCATATGCGATATATGATTTATGAAGCCGTCAAATAATATATCAAAAAATATAATAGTATTAGATATTTGTAAAGAATTAAGTTTTTGAGCGATTAAATTCGATGATATTTATCGCAAGGACAGTGCCCTTTTTAAACATAAACCGACCAAATCAATGTTTTCTTTGCTATCATTTTTCCAGAATTTTTATTGATTTATAATTGCAATTAAAATTATTACAGTATAAAATTAATAATAATTAATTTATGGTGATAATATAATGTACATATATATATACAATAATGTAAAATTTTATATTTCAATATTTAATACGTAAACTGGTATTGTTACAATCGTGTATATACATATTTGTTAATTAACTCATTTTTCATCATTGTTATACATACATCCTAATTTGGTAAATTAAAATATGCGTAAAGTATCTTCGTGATATACTCTTGGAAAGCTCATGCATTAAACATCGCATTGTTTTGGTCGATTTCTGCTCGTTAAGCGAACCGCATCGTATTATGCGTTTTTGTGTCCGCATGCACTTTTCTATTCATTCTCCGCTCCGCGAAGGTGAACGCGTTAATTAATTAACGCGTCGTCTGATTCGACACCGCGTGATTCACCCGGGAAACACGCCGCGACGAGAAAGAAGCGCTCGGCCTCAGTCAGCAACAAAAAGTTCCTCGCGATGCGGCTCGGCATTGCTGCTACAAGTCGCATTTGCAGCTCGTATGACGCGAGACTTACGCTCGCGCACTGAGCCGCATTAACGTCCGGATTAACGGTAGGTAGCCTTCGCGTTGGTTACCTCTCCTTTTTCTTCTTCTTACCCCTCCCCCTCAACCCATCCCCCATTTTTTCCTTGCGGGATTTAAGTGCGCCTTGGGAATATTCGCACACACTGAATTGGGTTAATCCGAATTTAGCGGTGAATGGGAGAAACGGGCTGCGACGCCGCTATACTTTTTCCGTAATGGTTCTATTGTTGATAGTAATGAAAATGAAAGTTATTAGGTCTCAGCTTCGATCCATAGAAGTTGCTTGAACTTGCTTAGGATCAGGCTTATTAGCCGCGTTTGCCATGAGTTAGGTACACGTTCGTTGTCAATAACGACGATATCACGAGATAACTATATCCAATAATGTATACGCATGTAAGGCGGATTTACTTGCTCATCCTTAAATAGGATTTATCAGTCGTAAGGGGATTAGCTTCTATTAACGATGAAGAAATAGAAAATTGGAATGGACGTAACTTATGCCACAATGTTATTATTAACAGATATTTGAATGCATCAACGAATTCCTTTCAATTGTTTATCTTGTGTTTTTAATATCGTTAATATGTCTATTATGTCGCATCTAATATGATGTACAAATTGATGTAAAAACAATTTATTTACGTGATGCTTGTCAGAAGATGGGAAAAATCGAGTACTTGCTCTTATAAGAGGATGAAGCGCGTTACATACGAGGATCGATCTAGAACGTGACGAAATGGCTTACAAATCATCGTTCGAGTTTTCTAAAAAGATACCAAGATTGAATCAGCACTCTGTCCCTATGACTTTGACATATGCGTGCCACAATTGCGAGCCGCTTGTTCGGCTAAAGCAGCTGCCGGTTTGAGTACAGGACTGTAATTTACTGGAGTGCCCACACAGAGTTAGCGTACATTTTATCAAAACATCAATGGCAGGATTTTGCAATAACGTTATTGACAAATCAGTAATGCAAACATTTCTTAGCTTAATATAATATATTGGCCTATGTACAATACAAACATAAGGCAAAGTTCTAAAAAAAATTGGATAACAATTGTTGTGGCGTGAATTAACATAAAAATCTGCAATTGCAAACATTACAAATCACTAAAATTACACTGCAAATGAAACAAAAAATTTACGAATTGCTGTATTGCTTATAATAGAAATACTATTTCTGTAAACAGTTTATAAGCAAATTTTTTTAAATAAAATAAATTAAGACAGGATTGTTTTCAAGTTAAAGAGAAATTTCTAAAATGTCTGGTATAATAGTCGCAAATGTAAAAAATTGCAGAGATAAAATACAGGAATACTTAATAGAAAATATTCTCTTCGAGTAAAAGAACCGAGCGCCGAGCGGTGAGCAATAGCATTCTTGGGCGATTCAAGGCCGCTTATTTGATTAAATAGTGGCGACTCTTGCTCAACGAACCGTTTTGTTTTATGAGCAATATAATTGTTGCCGACCGTTAAAATGTATGTAGATATTACTAATAGGCGTAATATCGTTTGTCTGGTGAATAACTCGAGCGTAGCATTACGCTCTATGCATATGCAAGATATTTTATGGAGTAAACGTTCTACGAAACCGCAAGTATTTTAATCTCGTATAACATGTAATTGTTTTAAAGACATGTAGAATGATTAATGATCGTAATTTCTTTGCATTTAAGAAATGTTTATGTTAAATACCTTGAGAATTTTTCTTTAAAGATAAAATGCGAGAGAAAGTTCTAATAAGCAGACAGAATTCCCACGATTTTTCACTCTAAATTTTAAACTTTTTATTCAATTAATAATATTTTTTATAAGTGCAATGGAAGAAAAAAAGAATTTACGTATTCCTTTTTGTTTTTTTTTTATAGAAAAAAGATTCAGTGTAAAGGAAGAATGTACTTTAAGTATAAGTGAGAAATGTATTGCAATAAAGATATTTTGCAGTAATATCTTTCTGCTTTATGTAGGATTATTCCAAACAAAATGGAATACAAATGTCTTTTTCTTACTGTATATTTCATTAAATTATACTTCTCAGTTATACTTTCTCGAGAAAATTTCAATGTATTGTAGAAGATATCGAGATTTCCAGCTGTCACTATCCAGTATCACTGCATATACTGATGATGAAAGAGTAAAATCTCATAAACTAATTGATTCACGGTTGAATACCGATTGTATATTATGCTTTTTCAATAAGCGCGGGTGGACTTTCCAACCGCACGAGGACGCGTGCGCTGTCGAGGGATTAGCAATAAAAACGTGATAAACTTACCCTCTGCGCGCAGGTCCGGGCACACCAAATCCGTGTACGAACTGCAGCAGCCACGTGCACCAAAAACACTAAATGTATAACAATCGAAGGTGTACACCGAGAAACAAAGAAATCCTCCGTTTCGCGCCGTCGTCGGAGGGACGCGAGTCAGACGTACGCACATACAGCGACGAATTCGTGCGCGCGCGCGAGCGACCTCGGGTCTCCTTTGGCGTTTCCGGTCCCGTCGTTTCGACCCGTCGTCAGTTTGCCGGTTCGGAACGCCGCGCGGCTCGGAGAACGTACGCGGCTTAATACGAACGCGACGGCGGATTGAGACCGACTAACCGGCTTTCCGCGTCGGAGCACACGCGAGCCGGAGAGCTCCGCTCTTTGCTGCCGCGGCCCCTTTAAAACCCCCATCCCTCCGACGACGGGCCCCTGCGGAAACCGGCCGGATGGGTTCTACGGCCCTGAGAGGGCCCCTGGCTTTCGGGGGCGTGCGATTATGCGCGAGATGCCAGATATGCGTGGAGTGCGAGGGATATTCGACTCTCGATTTCGTAACTGCGAACTATGCCCGGTCACCGAATAACCGCACCGTCGAATATAATTTCTATATTATAAATATATTTGGATGCTCGATATAGTTCAACGATGCTAGCACAGAAGCGATGACCCGCAGGGTCCAATTAACCTGAAAAAAAAAAACAATGAGAATTTTAAAGTTAATAAATAAGCAACAGATAAAGTTAGAAAGGAATAAATAACCAATTTTTATCTCTTGTTTGTTTGTTGAACTTAATTTTCTTTTCAGTTGTTTGAACGTACATGAGCCTTAATTTAGTGTTTTGTTAATTTGAAGTTAATTTTTCAATATTTGGATAAACATACGTAATTGCGGTTAATTGCTTGTTCATAAAAAGATGAGATTTTAATGTAAAAATATTGTTATAACGTTATATACGCAAATGTCTTTAAAATATCTATGAAATTCATTTAATATCTTATCGAAATGACGTCTTTTTCTACAAGGACATTTATAATTAACACTGTTTCTGAGGCGAACACATTAACATAAGAAATGGAAATCTCTGTCTGAAAGTCCTTTATATCTGCGCATTTTCGATATAGTATATGTTACATTTTACATTTAAAAGGAAATGAAGAATTTTATAAATTAGCAATCAGTATCTCTCAGTGGTTTCGTAACGACCGGAATGTGTTGCGCTCAAGAAGTGGCAAAAAGAGTGCCGTACAGGAATGTGCGTTTCCTTATCTTTATTTACTCCGCTCGTGAACCGCGCCGAAAGGCAAGTACACGAATACCGGGCGATATAAACGCAAATTGCTTCCATTTTTATGGATTTTGATAGCGGTTGGTGCCGGCCATCGTCTTTCGCACTTTCGCGAAAAAAAACCTGTTTCTGCGTCGCGGCTCGAAGAGAAACGGCGAGGCGCATAATCGTCTCTCAGGTCTCCGAGGACTCCGCTCCGATCTCGGCGAAAATTCTGACGGTACAAAATACGAAGCGAGAGATACGGAGAAAGAGCGCG